TGTCAAGTTCCACGAATTCAAAATTCACGTCGAAAACAAGTGTCCAATTTTAATCGCCGATCACTACGATAATTGTCGAGTTCGTAACGTCGACACATTCAATGCTATGCATGTGATTCTTACATTCTTAGGCATACCAAAGCAGACATTATAAACACGTACTCGAACAAGCGGCCGGTGTTCCAAATATTTCTGTAGGATATTGGATTCGGAATTGGAATTAAAACACCATTTTCATTGTAGCTGTGGCTCAAAACCTTATGGTTTTGATAAATTTTAATACGTGGTGCGAATGTGCTTCTCTTTTTCTTTTCCTTTCCATTTTTCTTTTCCACTCGTTCAAGTATGTCACGAATTTGAGAGCATTTGAATGTGTCGACGTTACGAACTCGACAATTTTCGTAGTAATCACTGATGAAATCGGACATTTGTTTTGCACGTGAATTTTGAATTCGTTGAACCTGACCGTATTCGTGTTTGCTTCTTTGCATTTACCACAAATTGCAGTAGTGGTCCCTTCTCACATGAACTGAGCACCATAATCAAATCCGATGTGCTCGTCTGCAAATTTCAAATCAATGTATGCTTGATTTTTCTCAAGCACTTTGTTATAGTGCGTTGCGCAATGAACTATAGAACCGATGATGTGACTGAATACCTCCGAAGCGTCGATATGTGATTCAATTCCAAAATCTGGTGACAGCTCAGATAACCGCGAGCGCAGATCAATCAAATTATCACATAATTGGGTTGAGTTCAAATTATTTTCCTGCACACGATTATACTTTCCGAAAAAATCGTGCAATGATGTCACGATGCCTGCAGTGATTTTTGGACACTTTACCATTATCGATCCTTTTCGATCTGCCGATACTAGACATTTATCGCACTATAAATTGGTATTGTGATGTGCTTGTTTGAGTTCTGTGCTCAATAAGCAAACATTGCACACCAATGATGTAATTTTTGTATATTCGTTAAACGTAACAACTGTAAAACTGCAATCAAAGCGCAGTTTTTTATTCAAAGTTTTTAATACCCATGAAATCCATCTTGAATCTCTCACTGGAATTCAACTGACAGTGTGTCGTATGCGAAAAGAAGATCGAAGATACAAATGTCGGAAATGTTAACGGATTGTCCATTCGAATCTGTTTATGCAAAAAAGTACAGTTCGGCCAGTTCGGCATATACGTGGCAAATGCAAAATATGTACGGACGTACGACAGTGCCATTTCAGCGGTCTTCCGTATTTTTCATACAAGCTTCCCATATAGATGGTAAAAAAACGCGAAAAATGGAAAAAATAATATCTTTTTTTCTTCGATTTACAAATACTGCTCAATTTTCTGTGTCAACTGGTTAAATCAGAATGAAAAAATTCGCACTCCTTATCATCCAAATCACGATTGGCATTCGCATATTATTTAATGGGTGTTATTTGCCTGCTAAATGGCAACCTTATATGAAACTCTCGGAGACTCGGTATAGAGCACAAAAAGTGAAAAAAAAATCTGATTTTTTTTTCTCAATTCTTATGCACAACTAAATGGCCTATATCATCTGGTGCGACTTAATGTAAAAATGTGCTATTTCTGTCACCCAAATCGTTGTTCAATGCTATCTCGCTCACCATTACATGTAATTTCTCAATGCATGGCATTGTGTTTACAAACAACATTCGATTGACACCCAAATACGCAATAAAAAATCGCTGTTACAAGCCATTTGATTGTATATGAAATTTGAGAATAAGAAGTTTTTTTCACTTTTTGTGTGTTCTATACCGAGCCTCCGAAAGTGTGAAATATTTATACCGTTAAAGTGCGTCGCATATCAAAGCGAAACAAAATTTTGTTACTAAAACATGGCAGAACAGTAGCTAGTTATCAGCACAAAACGAAACTTACATATTTTGTGTAATAAAAAGTCAATGTTATTTATTCCTTTGTTAACAAAATATTGTCTCGCTTTGATATGCAACCATTTTGAGACGCGTTTCGATATGCGACCACACAATAAGTTGTTTTTATTCTAGAGCGTTCAATTAATCGCTAGTCACTATATCGCTCACCTTTGCATGCATGGAAATGTGTTTACAAACAACATTCTATTACAACTCAACTACGCAATAAAAATCGTCAACACAAAACTGAACACGATGACCAAAATACATTCACTCTCAATCATTTTTATTCTCTTTATTTCTTACACACAACATCCGCAGTAACATTATGTGTTTAAACAAAAAAAACTAATTCTGAAAAACGCGGCATAGATTATGAGCTGCGATATAATGAAGCGTAATAATACGATTGACATCAAATTATAATAAATGTAATATTTATTGGGAAGCAAACATCTATGCCCCGTTTTTAAGAATTCTCATTTTCAACGTACGTATTTCAAAGTACGGCATCTGTATTGCCACTACTATTCCCATGGACGCATATTCATTTGAAAAATTCCATCGTTTTATTGTCTTTGCACCAATCTGACATCCCCACAAAATAAAGTGTACACGAAAAAGAATATGTTTTATGGAATAGAAAATTGCCAAGAGATAGCTGAGATTTTATACATGCATTGTCGGGCCAAAATTCACCCTCGATAAATGCGACTTTTGTGTTGTGCGTACACCAATACATGCTAACCGTAGTCAGAAGTAACACATATTCACAGTGAAGTCAATGATGTAAAAGCCGCGGCATATGTTCGGCTCAATGAATAGTAGTCATGTATATCAATGCGTTTGGTCGGTGCGCTACTAAATCTATTTGCATTTCTACGAAATGGTAAGACGATCAGTGTAATGAATGCTCAATTGAGCGACTCGGTTCGGATTTTCGAAGGTCATGTAAATCAATTTAAAGTAATTTGCATTTCATTTTCTCCCTCCTCAAATGATAAATTGAGTAGACGTCTTTTGTATCTGACTTTTTGTACTCTGTTTACTAAAAAGAAGCAACAACATTATTCAAGAAATGTTTCCATTACATTTTTCAACGTGCCAAAATCACATTTAAAAAATTCAATCCGATTCAAAATTGCAATAAAATCGTATTAGTTCTTTAATCAGCATTTAATTAATTTTATCAGGAAAATTGATTTAGGTGTTGTTTTTTTCTTACTGTAACCGGATTATAGTAATACGCAGTCAATGAATAACAAATTGCTGCTTTCCGTCTAGTCAACCAATCAACACTAAGACAACTTCACTAATCTGGTTTTGATTAAATTGTTGTGACATCGAACATCAACAATTCGATGCGGGGAGAAACGCATGTGAAGCAATAACAACTAATCATGCCAGATTGTATAATTTATATTGATCAATTTATTTAGAAAAAAACATTACTGAAGCATTGAAAAATGTTTGGAAGAATTCATTTTGAGGGAAATATCGAAAGTTTTCAACCGTTCAGCATTTTGATTTTAACTATTCGTTGTTTTCGTTATTAAATCCATTTTAAGAAGTCAAGCCAATTATACGCACAACAAAAGACTAGACAAAAGATAAATAAATAAATTATGCACAATCACTGTGCCACAAGAGTAATCCTCTTAGTGTCATTCGATGATTTTTGTTTAAAAACTTAATGATTTTATAGATTTCAGAAACTTAGATTGTCTATCATGTTAAGCAGAGAGTGAAAAAATGTGTGCAGTATGAATAAGTTGTATTTTTGTTCAACTTACCAGTATCCAAAGTCAATCGAAATTGTGAATGAAAAAAATATAAGCAAAACTTGTCTTTTATTAATGTGTTAATGAATTTATTTTATCTCAGAAATTACATCTCATTAAATAGATCAGTTTAACTAACGTTCAATAATAATTGGGATTTTAGTAAACAATTTGCAAATATTTGATTAATTTTATCTCTTGCGATTTGATTTTGATGCATAGAATATAGAATATATTGGTTCACTGAATTGCGTCAAGATGTAAACAATCCGACTCGTCATTGTTTTTGTCTAGCGAACAAATTTTTATGTTCCTAAAATTAAGTTCAATAAATATAGCATTGAATGCACAAATTTACGTATCTGTTTCTCCTCTTCTGGTTAGTTTTTCATACATTTTAATTGAAATTGTTTAATTGAATTTTCAAATCGAATATGAGATCAATTATTTTATTGAAACCACGTCAAATGATTTGTACTTTTTATTTCAAATGATTGAATTTTATGCTTGATTTTGATGCGGTTTAAATGAATTTTCACATTCTTTTAAAATACATTCATTATAAAATTGAAACAATTAATGTTGTTGTTTTGTAGTGTGAACAGCCAAAAATGCATTCAAGTATTAACAATTGAACATCAAAACCAATTTATTTGCTCGAATTGATTTGATCGAATTCAACACATCAAAGCGAAAATAAATTGAGGTGTGCGAATAATTTTCATTATTTCCATTGTGTTTAAATACATTTGTCTTTTAATACTACACGATGAAACCACAGAATGCACATTTTTACGTATCAAAGGAATACTTGATTAAGCGGCCTGCATCGGACAACTCAAAATTACCTTATCTCCGGATTTATTATTGAAATAGAAATCATTTTTCATTAGTAATGTAACCAAAATGACAAAAAAATAAAAAAAATTCAAAATATGGCATCGATCCCGAATCCGTCAAGTCCGCAATATCAAAAGGAATTTTGATATTTTGCTGTATTTTGAAGGGAATATTTTTGTAGTCTGACAAATAGTTGTTGTGGATAGTATAATACACAATAATTTAGATTTAATATACATTTTGGATTTGAGTAATTCCCGATTCTAATATCCCGAAAATCTTATAGAAATGATAAATATGAATTATTCCTCATTCAAAATGTTTGAAAACAGGGTATAGAATCATCTAATACCAACTTCAAACGAAAACAAAATCTCAAAAGTCTGAAATAATAAACGAAAAAAAGAACAAACGAAAGAGAAATTTCTTCAAAATGACAACATCTCAATTTATTTCACATCAGAATTTGCAATAAAGTACTTTTCATATACTTACTAGCTACAGTATCGTATAGTATGGGATTTTATTTTCATTCGCATAATTTATATTTCTAATACATTTAATCAATCTCAATAAATGTTCGCAGACATTTGTTTTGCAACTACAAATATATACATAAATAGCAGAAAAATCTTGCATTAGCCACATGCTAATATAATATATTTGTTTTTGGCTATAATTCGTACACTATACATTTGCATATGAATAAGTGACATACAATAAAATAAAATTAATAATGATAATGTAAAGTAAAGCAATTGAAATTGGAAAAAAAAATTTAAAAAAAATAATAAATTGTCTTCTAGAGCTATTGAAAATTAAAATATATTCACTTTTTCCTCCGTGCATACCATTGAAATGAGTGTGTTCTTGTGTTTTACTCCAATAATAATAAGCAAATTTTATTTTATTTATTAAATACGATTCAGTTGAAAGCAATATATACATTAACGCCAATACATATCCAACAAAGAGTGCTAAAACATTCGCGCGAAAAAGTGTTTTTTTCGAAGAAAAAAAAACTCCTATTTTCATTTCTCTTGAGCCACTTCATCAACGAATTGGCGAAAAATATTTGAATTTTGCCAATGGAAATGTGATGTTTTTAGCAGGCACAGAGCGGTACTGTATCAATGAGCCATTTCATCGATACAAAATTCATGAAATTTACGTTTTGTGTATTTATATCGGCTAATTTTTTTTTTCTTCTCATTTTTTTTGTAAATTTTACGAAGGTGTTAAACATTTAATAAGCAGTCGCATGATGTGGTATCAAATGTTGATGTGAAAATGGATTCAAATGATTAATGTCGGTTGGTGGGGCAGCAGCTGCAACGGCTGCTGAATGATACCAGTCATTGCTTGGATGATGATGATGATGTGAGTGGTGTTGATGGTATAGTAATGGATTTGGATGATTGAAGTGGTGGCTAGTTGTCAATGGTGGCGGTGCAAAATTTGAATTTACACCATAAGGTGATGCTGATGGCATGCATGCAAGCGACGTGCTTCCACTCAAATTATTGTTATTACTGCTAATATTATTGTTGTTAGACGGAGCCAATGTGCCCGATGATGGAGATCTTGTGTGAATCGAACTGTGTTCCGATTTAATGGACAGAGGAGTGTGCGATTTTAATGAGTTAGCATCTGTATTATGACCCAATCGGTTTGCAGATGGTGGGGTTTGTGCACCCCCAGTTATGATCGAAGACGAGCTGGAGTCATCTTCATTGTCACTTTCAAACGTATTGTGTGACGGTGATTTTTCGCCAAGACTTCCGTGAACCTATTCCAAACAAATTGAAGAAAACCATGCATTTAATAAAAGAAATTTAAATTTAAAGACTTCGTTAGTAATAATTACCTTCATGTGCTTTCTTAATGATGATGGGTGAGTGTAAGATTTATCACAGCCAACAACACGACAATTGTATGGCTTGTCTGACGTGTGTACATGTGAATGTTTCTTGCGATCTGATGAATTGGCAAAGCGTCGATCGCACCCATCATGCTCGCATTTAAAAGGTTTTTCGCCTGGAAGAGAGAGAAAAAAATTACGATTAATCACAAAACTCACTAAAATCAAGCAATAAACAGCGGCTACACAATTCAAACGCATAAAAATTGGTTTTGGGATAATATTCTTTGCATCAGTTGCTTTTGTCAAAAAGAGTCATTGAGACAGTGCATAAATCACCATTTAGTGAAGATGCACACGTGTCAGTGTCGGCGTTAAGCACATAAAATCAATGAACCTACATTGTCAGTTGACAAACAAACAGCCATACAATCGACGGGCGATGTCATTACTCAAGTCTGGAATGGCGTATAGCAAACGTATGGATTATTCGCTTCGAATTGGTCAACATGCATTTGAAATGGTGGTAAAGTTGTCACCCACATTCACACATGCACAGTCAAGCAATTGTGCTTAACTGTATTCGTTTGTAGTTTGTAAAATAGAGATGCATTTCGACACAATTTCATTGAATGCAATTTTCAAGAGAACGAAACAAAGCCATTTGTGCAACAGAAGACCAAAGCGTAAACTATATTGAAATCATGAAAATGCAGTCATTTTTCAAAGAGTTCGAAATGCTGTGTATCGGTCCGGTCATTGTATTTGTGTTTGTGCCTCCTCTGCTCGTTTATAATGACCATTGTATTTCCGTGACACACACAAAAAAACTTCTAATGAAAATAAAGTATAAAACTTGAATCGAGGCCGTTGCATCTGCTCCATTTTAGTTTACATTGTTTCGATGGAAGTATTGCAATTGTTTTCAAATTATCCGTAAATTGTTTGTTCAATTCGAAAGTGACTTTTCAAAGTCATTCCAATTGGTTTTGAGTTTGGCAAATTATATACAAAACTCAAACCATCGGTATGAAGCAATCGAATGTAATTCTTGGAAAATCAACTTAAATAGCTTCATTTAACAGATCGATCGAGAGTAAATCTTCTGAAAAATTATTCATGGTCACATTAAAATTTGTGACTAGCACCGGCCGAGAAAAAGGATTCGATTAACGAACGAAATTCAAAACGATTTTGAAAGCGAACAAAGATGAAATATAAATAAAATGTTTATATTTATTGGATTGCCGTAAAAAAAACGTGAATAAAACTAAGCAACAGACAAAAAGATTGTCATAAAAATAATTCATTTTTTTCCTCCTTTTGTGACCTGACCAACAACAAAACAAGCGTTTATCTTTCGTGAGCATCGATCAGATCGATTCGGCTATCGAGAATCTATTGCGCGGCAAACCATACATTCGATTTGGCCCTTTCGATTTTAACGGCTATACATTTGCCGTCTCAAATGTTCCATAATTTATTGACCTAAGCCCTGATGTTGTTATTCACCTTTTTTCAGATGTGTTTTTTCTCTATTTTTTTATATAAAAAATTTTACGTTTATTTTGGATCATTGGTTCGAGTGGTGCAGTTTACTGTCGCACACACAAACAATGAACATGATATTTCTCCCGATTTAAGAAACAAATGGCAAGAAATATCAATAATAATTTTTCATCCCTTTTCAGCCTTGTGTATTGTCGGTGTTTTTCGGTCGGTTTGCATCTAAAACACATAGACATTCATTTGGAAGTGTTTTCGATTCTTTTGTTCGGCTCTTCGGTTGTTTTCGTTTCAATGCTGGTGTGAGAAAGTTCTGAAGATTACAACACTCCCGATGCATATGCACACGAACAACTTTTACCGGGCGGTTTTATCGCTTTTTCGTTATAAATTATTTTAACGAGAATAAATTTGATTAAATAGCCGAAACCATTTTTTAAGAGATTTTTTTTATGCCGGCCTCAATTTGTCTATCAAATAAATGTTTTAATGCTGTTTAATTTGAATCGTAAAAGTTTGCTTTTATTATACAAATGAAATTATTTTTTTTTTTCAAGGCTCTTTATGCATTGAGATAGGTTAAGAAATTTTAATGTTCAATACAATTTAGTTAAAATTGTGAGCTTTTGTTTCAATCTGTGTACTTATGCAATCACATTAAATGGGTTTATTATGGGAAAGGCTTATTGAAAATATAAGCTAATAAAACTTGATTTTCAAACAGTATTGTGCCATTGTTTCAGCCAATAACCATTTGACCCTTTTTTTCTCTTTCTCTGTGTGTGTTTCTCCCTCTCAATTGCAAACATCATTCTTTTACCCTACCGTAAGTTTTTTTATTTTTACTTTAAACTTTAAAAAGATTCAGAAAAATTTGTGCAATCGTGGGCGTTTTCATACTAGTTGTAATGAGTATCATGATATTTATGAGCCGGCAATGCGTTACGGATCGGTTTCCACAAACCGATTCTTGTTGTTTTTTTTTGCCTCTTCTCTCGTTCTCATCTTTCTGATATTATTGTCATATGAACGGGTATTTTGATTTATATTGCCGTGCGTGTAAACCTATTTGTGTTGTCGGAGAGAATGTGATAGTTTTCAAAATGTTCTGCACGCATATGTTACAATGTTCAGGTTCGCCGTGTAGGTCTTTGGGTCAGCTGTTTCTCTACCTGACAACACAAAATCCATAGAATTCATTTGTTGTGCCTCTACGACGAAAAGAAATGACAAACACGCACCAGAAAAAAAATGAAGAAAAAAGCGAGATAGAGAGAGAGAGAGAGAGAGAGAAAGAAAGAAAACTTCTTCTTTGCTAACATTTTCATTGTTTGACATGTGATAGTACCGATTACGTTCTTGTGAAACATGTTGTAAAACATTTCGACTTCTATTGATGAATCTTCTTGAAATTACATTCATTTAAAGAGAAGAAAAAAATCAGTGTCATCGGCTCTATTGCAATATGGTCATGAATTCACCAACGTGAATCAATTTGGGTGAATTTTAGTTTTAATCCGAAAAGAATTAATCATTTAATTGCTGAATATTCGTCCGCCTTCAATTTAATGCATTGATTTCCGAACGGCTGAGTCATAAATGATTCGGACAACAACACCTAATAGAACAGAGAACTGACCAAAACAAAAGAAAATCTAATTCTCAGTAATTTTTGCCACTCAGTGTGATTTATTACTTTTGTCCGTTGTTGGTCTTTTCATTTGGTTTGTCTTGGACAATTTACTGTGTCAAATTTTAAGCCCATTGAACAAAATTTTCGAATTGATTCCTGCAGCCTGTTTGCGCAGTAAAACCGAAATACACACAAGAAGAACGAAGTAGAAAATGTTTATTGATTTGCATATATGGTTTTATTGTAAAAGGCCAGTTGTGGCTGCCGATTCTACGTAAGACGTCGTAAAAATTCCAACGACAGAGAGACACATGAATGAAAGATTTCCAAATAACCATAAATATGTAAAAAAAAAATTATTACGGCTATTCGTTCCGTTTTTGCTTTTTCACTGAAACTCATTCTTTAGTAGCACAACAGGCTGTTCGGTTGCACCATGGACACAATTTGCTGTGCAAAATGCAAAATCTTTTCATTTGAAAGTGACACTAGTAATTCGCCATTCACTTTATTACAGTTCCGAAATGCAAAGGCAACAAAACAATAATGAAAATCGGAAAAGCAAATAAAACGAAATTGAGCCTGTGTAGCACAGAGATAAACACAAACATATTATCAGTTGTGAGAAAATCGAAATTGATGTCCGTCTTCCGGAAACTAATTGTAAAATTTGCGTTTAAAGTGTGCAAGACGAAAATCGATGAGGGTGTAAAGAAAAATCTCCATTACGTAGAAATGTGACGAATAATTTCGAGAGCAATTCACCCAGACGCATTGTTAATAGTTTCAAATTCAATTTTCAATTCCAAAAATAGCTTTGAATGTGAAATTGTCTTGTTTCATGGCCATTGTTGTTTGTTCTGTATGTAATCGTTATTGCTTCCTTTGCGCGTTCGACAAGATTGAATAAATGTGCGTGCTGTGTTTTCTAAATCAGATTTTAATCGTTTGCAAACAACTTAATTAAATGAATTGACTTGAAATGAGTGAGATATTTTACTACGAATACAACAAGATATATACACAGACAGCAAAATGTTATAATCATCCTCTTACTCTATCTTCTATGGACTCTATTCACTGATTCAATCTAGATACGGCAAAGCGATTTTTTTCCAGTCAGTTTATCGAAATTGATTTGTTTTAATTTGCATGATTTTTTTCTTCTCTTTATGCGAGCACATGAAAATTCAAATTGAACCGAAACACCACCAAAATGATTATGAGAAAAAAAAGGTGAACTGAATACACAATCCAAATCAATTAAGTTTTGTTTAACTTCATCTTGATTACATGATTTCAATCGACTTGCTCGTCGAACCGTGGCGTCAAGTTCCAGTACAAACAATTCGATTAATTTAAAACCCGAATTGAAGACAAAGAGAAAGAGATGAAAACGAAAATCAAATGGCGACACCAAAAACAATGGCATTATCCACAAGAAAACAAAACAAAACGAGAAAAGGCGATCAGATTTTGATTGATAAAGTGGTCGAAAATTCAGATCTCAATGGTTTTTGGTGTATATTAATCGCGGCGCGACAGCATCGCATTTATAATGATGATGATGATGATGAAGCGTAGATTGTGTACGCCTTGAATTTAAACTTAAAAAAAGCGATTAGATTAACGCGATGCGATAAGGCGAAATTCAATGAGGATATTACACAAAACAAACAAATGATATACAAAACCCAGTCATTTATTTCAGTTTAAATGACTTTGCGCTGAAACGAAAAGAGTTTGACCGTTTTGTATCTCGGGAAGATGAATGTGATTTACAGCATTCGATGCATAAATAAAAACACCACACATCCAAATCCAAGACAAAAACAAAACCGAGCAACGCGTGCCATAACAAGTGATTTGATGTCGACCAATTACATTAAGTCGCCGAATGAATTTCATTTGATTTCTTTCGTGTCTGGTATTTTTCTGGTTGATTTGATTTTTGAAACATAATTTTTCTTACATTTTTTTTTTTCGAAGGACAAAAATCAAAAACTAATGATAAAATTTAATTATGCAAATGAAACG